GTTTGTAGATAAAGGCTAGCCAGGTTACTAGTTAAGAAAATTTTGGCTAGTTGGCTAGGATAAAGGAACTCCCATTAAAAGGTATCACATTCATTGCCTCTTTTGCAAACCACAACACCCAAAAGGAGAGAAAGAGAACAAAAGGGAATGCCATGACACAGAGGCGGGCGGGGAGGGGGGGGGGGGATGGGGAGGAGGGATACTGGGATCCGTGGTGGTGGGAAATGGGCACTGGTGGAGAGATGAGTATTTGATCATTGTATAATTGAAACCCAAGCACAAAAATTTGTAAGTCTATGACTGTACCTCACAGTGTCTCACTAATAAAAATTTAAAAAAAAATAAAAAGGCATCACATTGTTGAGATAAATTTCAATACCTATGTGATTTCACTGTCACTGTCCTCCCGTTGTTCATCGATTTGCTCAAGCGGGCCCAGTAACGTCTCCATTGGAGACTTTGTTGTTACTGTGTTCGGCATATCGAATACATCATGGGTAGCTTGCCAGGCTCTGCCGTGCGGGCGAGATACTCTCGGTAACTTGCCGGGCTCTCCGAGAGGGGCAGAGGAATCGAACTCGGGTTGGCCATTTTGGCTGCATGCAAGGCAAACGCCCTGTGATTTCAGCTTTGTTTATCATTTATTTTCTAGGGGCCACACCTATGGTACTCAGGGGGTCTGGGACGACTCCCAATGCTTACCAGTTAATGCTTGGACACAGTGGTTCTCAGGGTTCCTCAGGGGCCCAGCATAGTTCTGTGGGTTACCAAGGCTACACCCAGCAGAGCTCAGTGTGGTAGTGTGGTACCATGTGGTATACTCAGCATTGGACTCAGGATTTCATATATGCTAGACATATGCCTACCACTTCAACTATCTTCTCAACCTGATTTTAGTTTTTAAAATGAAATTTGACACTTATTTTAATTGTTAGAACATTAATAAAGGAAGCTGAGAATATTAAGTTTGCTTTGGCTGTATTTCAGCTGTTGTCACTTTTATGTGAACCATTTACCTTTTCTACTTACGATTTATTACAGTTCACTGTCACTATCACTGTTCTCCCATTGTTGATCAATTTGCTCAAGCGGACCCAGTAACGTCTCCATTGTGACACTTGTTACTATGTTTGGCATATTGAATACATCACGAGTAGCTTGCCAGGTGTATTAAAGTTGTTTTTAAATAATAAGATATCATTAAATATCAAGTGATCAAGTGATCATTAAATAATTTGCTCTAACTGTGGATATGATCAGTACATGCAGCTCATTGTTTATATGTTGTAGTCGTTTTCTGGTTACTTGGTTTAATAGTATGTTCATACTCTTGAGAACAAACTAGGCCACAGACTAAGCCTGGAAAGCCAGCCTGTGGCAGTGGGGTATTTTTACTTTCTCTTCCTCTTTGATTGGAGCAAATTCAAGTGACAATGCTTCATATATTATATAAACTATCATATTAAATAAAAGTTGCTTTGAAGGATAAATCAGAGTAAAAATTTTTTTCCCAGAAGTTAGAAAGAAAAAGGTATCTTTGACAAGGTGGGCAGGGAGTGTGGAAGGGTCTTCCAAGCAATGCTCAAGGGGTTGAGAACATTCCCTGCAATGCTTACCTAACTCAGGGCTGGAGCAATAGCACGGAGAGCAGGGCGTTTGCCTTGCAGGCCGCCACCCAGGTTCAATTCGCGGCTGACCCGAGTTTGATTTCCAGCATCCCATATGGTCCCCTGAGCACCGCCAGGAATAATTCCTGAGTGCATGAGCCAGGAGTAACCCCTGAGCATATCCGAGTGTGACCCAGAAAGCAAAAATAAATAAATAAATAACAACACCCAAAACTCACCTAACTCTTAGCCATAAAAGCCTGATTGTTCAATAGTAGAACCTGACAAATTAGTGCTGCTCAGGCAGTAATGGGGAAAGAGTTTAGGGCCCAGCACATTTGAATCATGACCTCCAGTCCTTTGCCCCAAGGAAAGTTTTCTTTTGTTTAGAAGTTAGAAGATTACTCCTTAAATTTATATTTTTCCCCAATTGTGGTCAAGGTTTAAAACCTTCAAAATAATAATCCTTCAAGAAAAACTTTAAAATAGGGTTTTTATTTCCTTATCCACTCCTCATTCTAGTTTCACTATGGTGTTTAAGATTATAAAAAAAAAAAAGTGAGACACGTATGAATCTCGGAACCGGGCAGCTCGCTGCAGGGATGGCTTCAGACCATGCGCTGGGCTGATTTCACAAGGGGAACCTCCGATGGGAGCAGGCGTCCCCTCTCTCTGCATGCATCAGATGAACCCCAGCAGCAGCAAATCTCCCAAACCCAATTGTTGCCACCCTCACGGTCGATCTTCACAGGCTCATCCCGGGCCCCCCACGCAAGAGACTAAATCTGCTGAAAAAAGCCAGATATGTGGGACCAGTGACAGAAAACGCACGGGGTTGGGAGTTGGCCATCCCTTCCCATCTCCCTGCCCTTCCCGGGTCCTGGTGGTCACTCCCACGAACTGCCTCCAGGTGCTATTTAAACGGATTAACACTAAACACTTTCTGCAGGGATGGCTCTGGACCCCAATCTTTTAAATCTTATGATCCCAGGATATATCATACTTTTTGTTGTTGTTTTCGAACCACAGTGAGATAGACCCTTACAGACATTCTATTCATAACAAGCAGTTCAGAATAAATTATCTAGCATTAGCCTGTGGGGAAGTTCACAGAGTGGTGTAATGGGAAACTTCAAAATATTGGTAGTGGGAAGGTGTAATGGTGGTGGGAGTGTTGTTGAAATATTGAATGTAATCAAATTATTGTGAATAACTTTATGATAACAAAACCTTGAAAAATTAAAATATTGTTCCACAAGGAAAAAGATTATTAAAAAGTTTCGCAGTAAACTCATCTTCATTTTCTGTAATCTATATTCTTCTTTTTACTCTCTTGCTACCAGCAAGAGGTAATTTCTTTTATCAACCCGCCTACCACTACCATAACACCATAACAATAAACTACCCTATTCTCCTCTACCTTGGAGATCCAGCATACATAAATTTCATTATCTTGAATCAGTTACTATTAACAATGGATTCATCCAATAAGAATTAGCTGCCTAAATAATTATTTTTGTTGTTGTTTTTGTACCACACTCAGTGGTGGCCCAGGGGCTAGTCAATCCTGGCAGTGCTCAGGGGACTACAATAAAGATTGAATCCCAGGCTCATGCATACAAAACACACGCTCATCTCTCCATATAAGCTCCCCTTCCCCCCTCCCCCCACTCCACCCCACCATACATGGGTTAAGGTACTTTCCTTGTACATGGCTGACTCCAGTTTAATTCCCAGCACCACCAGAAGCAATCTCTGAGCACAGAGCCAGGAGTAAACTCAGCATTAATGGGTATGGAATCCCCCCCAAATACTCCTGCCAACGTACTGCTCCCTTCCCAGCCAAAATTAGACAAGTTTATTACTCAGAAAACCTGGGGCATTTACCTACACATGAAAGAGGTAGAAAAATATGTAAATTTTATTGGAATATTCAAGGTAATCAAGATTTTAACAAACATTTTAATCCTCACAACAACCCTGTGAGGTAGGTAAGTCATTGTTTTGTGTTGAATTATTATTATTAAAATAAAGTGCAATTCCTAAAAGAATAAATCTGCAATAGGAGTAATTTTGTTAAATACCATTTATATATAGGTTAATAGTTGTATATTTGTATACTTTCATTCATGCAGTAAAGCGTCCCCAGAAAAGTGTACAGTAAATCAAATCCTACTTAAATACTTCTTGGGAAACAATTCATATAAACCCTGGGTGAATTTTTGAAAAAATAATTTTATATTATGTAAAAAATGAATTTTGCTCAAAGTGAGACATTCTCAACAGTATTTTACTCACATTTATCTACTCTTCAGTAAGTTAACGCAACATGGCACCAAACAAATGTAAAATTATTTACTGAATTAAACTTCAGAAATATAGTACATGGCAGTGACCAGTATTGTTATATTGAGACGTCTCAAAATATATTGCTCTCAATCTCAACCTCAAACCTACGTCAACTACATATTGAAATGTAAACTGTAAAATAAATAGATATAAATTTCAAAAGAGTACTTTCCCTTAAAAAACTTAATTTGGGGGGGGTGGAGCAATAGTACAGCGGGTAGGGCGTTTACCTTGCACGCGGCCGACCCAGGTTCGATTCCCAGCATCCCATAGGGTCCCCCAAGCACTGCCAGGAGTAATTTCTGAGTACATGAGCCAGAAGTAACCCCTGTGCAATGCCGGGTGTGACCCAAAAAGCAATAAATAAATAAATAATTTTTTAAAAAAACTTAATTTTTTCTTCAAATTGCAAAAAAAAAAAAAACAGGAGGGGGAATCTTTATAAAAGCAATAATCTGATAACTATAAAATTCTAATAGTTTATATTGTTAGGCAGTCTCATGCTATTTATTCACTACTTATAAGGGAGCCAGCAGAGATTAACTCCAAAAATTTAAATATTTTTTCCCTCTGTGCCAATATGACTTACTAGGAAAAAAAAAATGTTCCAAGTACCCATTTTCTCTTAAATATATATTTAAAGTACATTTCTATTGTTAATCCAACAATAGTAAAACATCCAGTTGCTAATAATTTTCATAGTTCTACTATCAGCAATATAACTTATTTACGAGATAAATGCTTAGCTTTGTTATACAACTTACTTGTAACAGTAAATTAAGCTTGAGAGCTAGGTTAACTCAAAATATGCTGCCAGAGTTAGAATACCTTATAAAGCTATGATTAAATCCCAGAAAAACATTTTTATCTAATTATTCAATTGCTACAGGAAAATTATGTGAAGCAAAATGTAAAAGAAACATCATCTATAACAAATACATTCAAATCCATACTAGAGCCAACAGTGCACTTTGAATTATAGTGAGGTAGGACAAAGATATACATACATATATTTTAAGTGTTAAATTTATATCATTGAAATCTGACATACTTAGATTTTATTTGGATATCTGAAAAGAAAAATTTAGAATTCTAGTGTCAAACTATTTTCTTAGATTCAAAGACAGAACTGTAAAAATCCTCTGAAGTACATATAAATAAAAATTACGAAGGTTACAAGATATATTTTATTTCAACATAAAATAGGCTTATATAAAAATAACCCAGGATATAGAAAAATTAAATACAAATATTTTTGCATAGATTTTCTATGTGAAATATTTACCTGGGGTTAAACACTGGGAAATACACATCTGAAACTAGTATAGTTGAATGGTTTCCTTGGATACCAAGTTTATATCAAATAAAGCCCTTCATCTGGGGGAAATGGGTAGGAGGGAAAACAATTTAATTTAGCATCAGTCTATATTTATTTCTCTGTTGCTCGAATATAAACCAATGATGACAAAAGGAGAAACTCTGGGGGTTTATTTAACAAAATTAAATTCACATTTCTGAGGCCATCATAGTGCATCCAATGTCCATCAATCTGGAAAGCTGCAGAATAATGATGTTCCTCTTTGTTAAATAATGTGGCACCTTCCAACAAATACCTATAAGTTAAACGATAAAGCACAGCAAAAAATTACAATAGTTCTAAATTTTATTTATTAATGTATTTTGTGTGCCAGGAATTATATCCAGGGCCTCACACATAGGAGATACGTATTCTACCACTGTAGAGTACATGCCAATGAATATACTCCATTCCTAGATCAGAAGTTTTTTGTTGGTTTGTGTTTTGGGCCACACCTGATGGTGCTCAAGGCTTACTTGTGGCTCCTGCTCAAAGATCACTCCTAGAGATGCTCAGGGGACCAGATACATTACTGGATATCAAACCCAGGTTGGTGATATACAAGGCCTTAATCCCTGTACTAATTCTCCAGCCCACTCAAAAAAAGTTTTTGGGGGGAGAGCTTTTTTTTTTTTTTAAGTCACACCGCAGGGCTTACTCATAGTTCAGCATTTGACTCATTCCTGGTGGAACTCACAGAATCGTATGTGTTACTGAGGAATGAAATTGGGTAGGCTGCATGCAAGGCAAGTACCTTTCTTGCTGTAACATCTCTCCAGCCCCATCTTTAAATTGTTAACGAAGGAATAAAAATTGGTATTTGCATCGCATACCCTGCAAAAGATAGCTGCAAATATTACAAATAATTGGTAATTTGTTTAATTTTCTAAAAATTGGGTTAATAATTTGAAAAACAGGCATTTTAAGAGAATAATTCATAGCTTGTATGGTCTGTTAAAAAGATTCATAACTTGTATGGTCACAAGGACAAAACAATAGTACAGCAGGTAAGGTGTCTGCCTTGTCTGATCAAGTCCCAGCACCATCTATGATTCCCCAAGACCAGGAGGGAGGGGAGGGAGAGGAGGAGGGAGGAAAGGAGAGAAGGAGGGAGGAAGGAAGGAAAGAAAGGAAGAAGGAAGGAAGGGAGGGAGGGAGGGCAGGTAGGTTGGCAATCAGTTAATATGCAGAAGGTCTGGGTATGATCCCCAGCAGCACAGCATATAGTCCCCTGAATCCCAGAGCATCAAAATGGAAGAAATCTCTGAATACCAACTTCCAGGAGTGACTCAGAAGAGAAATGCAACTCTTAATTTTTTTTCCAGCGAGGGGCAAGTCACACCCAGCTCTGTGCTTGGGGGTTTGTCTGGTAGTACTTGGTGGAGACTATATGGGATTTCCTGAATTGGGGAGATAGTTCAAAGAGTTAGAGCATTATGCAGAGCCCTAGGTTCTATCCCTGGCACCATCTGTTCCCCTGTGCACAGGTGATATGTCCAGCCAAAAGTAAAAAAAAAAAAAAAAAAAAAAAAAAACTTAGTTTGGGATGCAGATCTTTTTCTGTATAATAAAGGTCAAAATCTATACTAAATGATGACTTGGACCATATACTTCTTTAACCTGAAATACAGATAGCTACTTTACTGCCATGTCAGGAATTATACTAAACAACATATGTATTATCTCATTCACGATAATGACACTAGATAAATGCTGTCATCTCTTTTATAGATAAGAAAACTGAAGATGGGCTGGAGATATGGTATAGTGGGCAGGGCACTTGCCTTGCACATGACCAACCTGGGTTTGATCCCCAAAATCCCATATGGTTCCCTGAGCACTGCCAGGAATAATTCCTAAGTGCAGAGCCAAGAGTAAGCCCTGAGCATCTCAGGATATGGCCCAAGCCCCCCTCCCTTCTCCCCAACAACAACAAAAAAAAACCCTGATAGTAAACCTGTAAAGTTACCAGTTAAGGTCTAAGATCATGTCATTTGTAAGAGAGCGGGAATCTGAATCCATTTCTGCATATTCTGTAGTCCAAAAACTGCAACACTATGCACAGTGCTAATGACTGACTCCATGTTACACAGACTGATTTCACTTAGGATAAATTTATGGATAGATGTAACTTAAACTACCACATGTCCTTAAGGATTATTCAAAGCCATGATGGAATATCCATATACATACTTGTGATCAGATAAATCCAAGTGATAAGGTACATATGCCAAATCTTCAGATTTCCAATGCTGCATATTTAAGACAACAAAAGGTGGTGCTCCATGGCAGAAAACTCGCTGGGAAAATTCTCTTAAACCACCACACCTAAAATTGAAAATAGTCATGGACTTTATTACAATTGGGAAACGTTTTTTTGTTCTGTTACCTTTATTAATTTTGTAATGTGTACAATTATTTATTTTAAAAATGGTAATAATATGGCTACATTAATTCTTTGGAAATTTACAAAGGTATGGGTTTTTTTTAATATACTAAAAATACTACTTCTAAAACTCTAAGGAGAGCTATAAAATCATGTGATCTTCTAAACTAATATAAAAATGTGCATTATTATTTTTCTCTAAAATGGCTTCCAACAGGAATAATAGCAGAGAAGGGAACAATATTACTCCCTACAATTCTCTTTAGGGATTAAACTTCTCTAATTAATTTTCCTGTTATTAGAATAAAGTAAATTCTGTTTCTTAGGAGTATCAGGTAGTAAGCATATGAATGAGTACATAACACAATTATACAGTAAAATCTCGATTAACCGGAATGCTCAGGGCACAGTGTTTTGGTTAAGAAACATTCTTGATGAAACTATGTTAACCAGAAAACCATTTGTTTCAATCTTTGTTACTAAAATATATTCATTCACTTTCTGGACTTAGGTGTAATTAACAACATAGTTTATTCTTTGCTCCTTTTTCTCCTAAATATTCTCATTATAAATTACTGTAAACACAGACATTGGCAAGAGATTGGGATGAAGAGATAAACATAATCTGTCTCTCTGGACTTCATTTTTTAAAATACTATGTTAAGTGTTTTGGTTGTCATTTACCTCTTTCTCTTAAATGAGGAGTGCAGAAAAAAATCCAGTTAATTGAGGGTCCCGATTAGCTGGGTTCCGGTTAACCAAGGTTTTATTGTACCTACTCAGCAGTGGGGGGAAAAAAAAAAAGGCATTTGCTTTGTATTCATCAATTAACCTTAGTATTATATTCTAGTGTTATTTGATAATGACATCACAGCTATAAGATCTCACAGTAAACAAAAGCATTAAAAATTTTTTAAATGTTAGACTTCCAAAATATGTGAGTTGCAATTTCATAAGTATTAACATCAAAGAGCTTAACAGCCCAGATTTCTTTATAAACAGAAATACTTTCATCTTAAAACACTATCAGTGACTGGAGAGATAGCACAACGGGTTGGGCATTTGCCTTGCACGCGGCTAACCCGGGTTCAATTCCCAGCATCCCATATCCCATATGGTCCCCTGAGCACCGCCAGGAGTAACTCCTGAGTGCAGAGCCAGGAGTAACCCAAAAAGCAAAAAAAAAAAAAAATTTAAAAAATTTAAAAAAACCACCATCATATACTCACCCATGCTCTTCACACAGCTCAATCCTAGAACAGAATAACTCATCCATAGCCAGTCGTATCAAGTTTCCATGTGGAATTTCTTGAGGAGGACTAAAACAATTTTAAAATGTATGTATTTACAGCTAAATACATTAATAGTATAAAAATTTTACAATTTAATATAAATTAATTATAAGCACACCAAATATAAAAGTCTACGCTGTTATTCATCTTTGTATTTCTTGTACCTTGTATAGAAATCAGTTGAACTTAAATGCTAATGTAGTAAGCTTTCCAAGAAACATCAAATCTTTCTATAAAAATGCTCCTGAAATATTTTATTTTTTCCAAGAGGGTTCAAAAGATGGTGGTTTCAGGGAGAAAAGGAAGGAAAAATAAACAGGAAAGGAGCCAGAACAATTGTACAGGAGGTAAAATATTTGCCTTACAAGCAGCTGACCTGGATTTGATTCCCAGCATCCCATATGGTCCCTGAAGCACTGCCAGGAGTAATTCCTGGGTGCAGAGCCAGGAATAACCCGTGACCGGGTGTAGCCCAAAAATCAAAATCAAAAAAGAAAAAAATATAATCAGGAGAGTGAGCATCTTACTAAATGCGTGTCTTTCAGCCACTCATCTGGTAATCTTTTTCTTTACACATTTGAGGCTGTTTTTAAATATAGAATTGGGAATGGTGATATAATTCAGTGGTAGTGTGTATGTTTTGCACATATGAGGCCCTGGGTTTAAGCCCAAGCACCTCTATACACATACAATGCTTTAATAATTTAAAAATCTGTGGGGAAAATGGCTCAAAGGGCTTTACATGTGGGAGATCCACATTTAATCCCTGGCCCCGTATGGTCCCTGCACACTATCTGGAATGATCCTCAAGCAGCAAGTCAGAAGAAACCTGTGGTTTGTCTGAATGTGGCCTAATAATAATAATAATAATAATAATAATAATAATAATAGTAGTAGTAATAAAAATAAGTAAGGCTGGGGATGCAATTTAATCCATCAACTCGCCTTACCATGTGTAAAGTCATCAATACTCAGCACCACCACAAAAAAAAAAATTCTATTAAAATAACACAGGACCTAAAGGCTCAAGAGCTAGAGTCACATACAGAGGTTCCAAGGGTCAGCAACATCATAGTTCACAGAATAACAACTTGTTAGTTCCTTAAGCAACAGCAGTATAGGAACCACTCAGAGGCCCTAAGAGTGGTTCTTATAACGCTGAGTCTCCCCCATACATTTTTTGGGGGGGAGGGAAGCACACCCAACAGTATTGGACCATGTGGCACGAGAATCAAACCTGGGTTTTCCACATGAAAAGCCTATGCTCCAGCCTTAAAACTCTTTCTGGCATCCTGGCTCCTATAAAATGGATTTTATTTTTTTAAAAGCTATACAGATATGATGAAAATATTTTATTGAGAAGCACAAAACCTTGGAATAAATAAAACTAAATATTTCCTTATAAGTTTAAAACATAAAAATTACATATTCTTAGGTATTTTATTTATAATTGGTAAAACAAACACAGAAAGGCAGAGAAAGAATTGATGAGTATTAGCAAATTCCATGAGACAAGGTGTGTTTGGGTGTGCATGTACATATGTATGTATATATACACATATATATACATATATACAGACAGATTTATATATAATATATATTTGTCTGATTTACCATTCTGTCCCCGTGCCAGGAAGTCTGCTGTAATATCTCTATGACCTCAGAGGTTCAGTTCCCTCTCTTCCTCACTTTAAGACCATAAAACTTGAATCACATTTTATTTATTTATTTATTTGCTTTTGGGGTAACTCCCGTTGATTCACAGAGGCACAGAGGTTATTTCTGGCTCTGCACTTAGGAGTTATTCCTGGAGGTGCTCAGGGGACCATATGGGATGCTGGTAATTGAACCCGGGTCTGCCGCGTGCAAGGCAAACACCCTACCCGCTGTGCTATTGCTCCAGCCCCCAAGACCATAAAACTTGAAAGATAAATTTCTTTACGAAGAGCAAGATGTGACTCAGTGATGTCTCAGTGATCAAAAAAGAAAAAGGAAATACTGTATCTTAATCAAGACTCAGAAACAATACAGGGGTTCAACTCTGCCTTGCATGGGGCACAGATTCAATTCTTATTACTACACATGGTCCCTAAGCATCATTAGGAATGATCCTGAGCATAGGGCCAAGTTACCTCTGAGCACAGCAGTGTGGACCAAAAATGGGATAGGAGGGGGGAGAAAAGAAATGAAATTAAAATAAAAGCTTGTGTCAAAGGTGTGAATCTGGGGATTTGATGCCAGGTGCCTACATGTGCCAAGGTCCCTCTCACTCTATTTGGAGCCCGGGGATGCAACAAAATGTGAAGACCTCTGAGTCATCACAGCTGGGCGTGTGGAAGCACAACCACCAAATGTGCAGTTCCCAGAAAACACCACAACCAAGTGATTCGGTGATCTCCAGTCCTTACAACAACTACAATAAGCAAAATAAGGAGGAGGAAAACCTGGGGGTCTTGGGGGCTGGGCGATAGCACTGCGGGTAGGACCTTTGCCTTACATGGAGCCAATCCAGATTCGATCCCCAGCATCCCATATGGTCCCCTGAGCACCGCCAGGAGTAACTCCTGAGTGCAGAGCCAGAAGTAACCCCTGTGCATCACCGGGTGTGACCCAAAAAGCAAAAAAAAAAAAAAAAAAACAAAAAACAAAAAAAACTGGGTGTCCTTAGGGGAACTGAAAGGGATGAAAAATGAAAAATAGCAAGCCATATTTTTTGAAATGCTTATTTTTTTAGCAGTCATAAAGGATTTTTTCCCTAATGGAAATTTTAAATCACCATCATCCTATCAGCAATACAGGAAAATGGACAAAGCACCTTACAGAAAGTAAACTTTAATTAGCAGAATATGAAATATAAAGTATCTGGTATGGGGAAGCAGTTCAAAGGGCTAGAGTACATGTTTTGCATTCACAAGGCCTGGGTGTAGTTCCCAAGTAACACAAACTGAAAAAAAGATTTTTAGCTTGTTATGAGTAGCATAATGGCAATGTTAAATTAAATATGTTATAAAATATGTGACTTTAATCACTTAGTGAATGCAATGTACAGTACCAAAAGGAACCATCTCTGGGGTTGGAGCAATAGCACTGCGGGTAGGGTGTTTGCCTTGCACTCAGCTGACCAGGGTTCGATTCCCAGCATCCCATATGGTCTACCAGGCACCGCCAGGAGTAATTCCTGAGTGCATGAACCAGGAGTATCCCCTGCGCATCACCGGGTGTGACCCATAAAGAAAAAATAAAAAAGGAACCATCTCTTAGGCTCTTTGTCTGTACCATAAGACCAAACACAATTTCCAAGTGTTTCTGGTTTTCCTTTCTACTTTGCACTGGCTATTAACCCTTTGTCAGTTCACACCCCCTGGGAACTTTCATGTTTCCCAGCTCATTGCTATTGTCACCCTACTTTGACCTTCCTGTCATTTGCTGGCTCAAGTGGTTTACCTTATTTCTGAAACAAAAACACTCAGCAGGGAATAGGAGTGACAAAACAGCAGGTAGGGCACCTGTCTTGCCCCCAGCTGATCTCTGGTACCCCATATGGTCACTCAAGCCCTACCAGGAGTGATCCTTGAGCACAGCTGGGTGTGGTCCCCAAACCAAAACCAAACCAAACCAAAACATTCAGCGGTGTCCCAAAATCGTTACTAGAGAATGAAGAAAGCTCCCCATATCATCATCACCATCTCCTTTTAATAGGATCCCAAATTCAGGTTTCTGTTTGTAATTATGTGCCCACTCATGGGTCGAGGAGTACTTTGAATGTTCTTCATATAGAATTCATGTATCTTACAGAGATCCATTCAAAGATAAAACACTCCAAAGCAGTGTTGATTTTTAAGAGATCACATTTGTGACACAAGAAAATAATAGCCTGGAAGGTCAAACTAATAATTCAAAGGAAAAAAAATGACACACATTACTTTTAAAGTTTCAGTTGGTTTTGTAAAGAGAATTCTAAGACGTTGCCATATGATAACCTATCATTTGTGTCATGAGATCCACTAAAGCAGACGTCTTGTATTGGTGTGGTGTGCTTTGTGTCTACTTATACCACAACAAAGAACTTTAAATTAAAAAAATTACATGTATACTTAACAATCTTATTTTAAAAAGTAAACAATTTTTACCAAAAGTTACAAAACAGACTTTAAAACAACTTACTTTATATTAATTGTGCGCTGCTGATCTTCCTGCACACGAGTTGGGCATCGCCAGTTGGAACAGTAACTCTCTTGGATGGTACACATGAGATTTTCAAGATTTTTTGTAAAATTATCATGCTCATTCCCAAATAAATCAATGATTAATGAAGCTTTATGTACTTCTGATTTGTACTGCTGTTTTTCCATCTTGTCCCAAATCCAAAGCAGCTTCACAGTTGTAAAACTGTAGGTGTCCATTAAATAAAGAAAACAGTCTACAAACTCTCTGCCTAAATGAAGAGAGAGTTCCCTGGGAAAATTTTCATTTTCATTAAGAATGACATATAATAACATCAAGAATCCATCTATAGTGCAGGTATTTTTCAGTCTGATTTCAACATAAAGTGGTGTACAGGATACTGCTTTGCGGCCAGCTTTGATAGTGAAAACACCTCCCCAAGGAAGAACAGGTCTCCAAAATGAGCGATCTTGGTTATAATTATTTTTAATTGATGCTTTGATCTCTTCAAACAGTGTCTTCATCCTGAATTTTAGATGTTTAAAATAAAACATGTAAATTGGTGATTTCAGAAGTTAAATATGTTTAAATAAAAATTAGGCTACTTAAATATTTAAACTAAATTCTAGGTCATTAGATTAGATGATCTTCTATGTTACCAAAAAGTTTTTTCAAACATTACAAGGTATGTGGCATTTTTTTCTTTATGCAATTGCATGGTCTCTGGAAAGAGTATTTAAGATGCTGCAATCTTTATTTATCTTTATTTGGCACAGAATGGCCATTTGAAAACTCTAATTACACTGCAGATTGTTATGTTACATACAATCTCTAAAAAGAAATAAATCTAAAGGTATAATCTATATTTGGTTGTGTTATTCCTGATATAAGTATCTACCCTTCAAAATGAAAGCTGTGTTTCATTTATGTTCTTGTTAATGTATGGTTAACTTAATGAAACAATAAAATTCTTGGTTGGGCTATAGAATAACAGCTTTGGAAGCTAAAATATGAAGAGTAATATTGAGATTTCAAAGCAAATATAACATACAAAACTTAATTACAAATACAAGTCTGTTTTATGACCCTTGAGCTCTTTACTTACAACCTAAGGCTGTACTAGATATCCTATCATTTTAATTGGCCTGTTGTTAAGAATTCAGAAATTAATAAATATCCTGATCCCTTTTCTCTTCAAGTTTTGTGAATGAACTGAAGTATACTTTTAATAAACTGTTACCTATCCTGTTCCAATCTCTGACAGCTAAACATTTTTAACTGTCTAAACACTGTAACTAAACATTTTTAGTTACCAGCTGCATTTGGACAAATGCTTGTATCATGTCTAACAAAATTAAGACAAAGAATGAAGTCCTCAAAAGACTGAATTAATAAAATTGCCTTGTCACTCATGGCAAATTTATTTGAACTACAAATTCATAGGATTTTCCAACATGCTACTTTTATAGGAAAGTTTTGTTGTTTTGTTTTCAAAGAGGGAAGATGCAGAGGCATGGGAACAAGAGCAGTGATTGGTATCAACATCTTGTTTTCACCCCCATTTTTGTTTGGTCTTGGGGCAACATCCAAGGTGCTCAGGGATCACTCCTGGCAGGGTTGGGGGGGGGGGCATATGCAGAGCCAGTCATGCAACACAAGTGCCTTAACCTCTGTACTACCTCTTTGGGCCCCTTTTCACCATCTTTTAAAACACTGCATTCCTCCAAGTACAACACGAATACAGCACTCAATACCGCAGACCTGTGCTTTATTTGTGTGAGAAACTAAGTACAAACCGATTTTCAATTCAGCAGATTTACTGCTAACACATGTAGGCGCATACAATCACGGTATTTTTGGCTTGAAACAAGATACTGTGAACTCTAAACTATTAACGACTATATTTAGTCTTAAGTGTAGATGTTTATATATAGTAACTTGTTGGCTCTAGTCAGCATTTGGGAAGAAGAGGGCCTCGCAAATCTGGATCCTTGGAAAACACACTTCGTTTCCTCTCAACAGTATGCAACGGAGATATAATTTATATACCACGGATATATCCTGAGATTTCAAATACTCTTAAGGCGTGTAAATGCTTAAGTAATGAAAATGCAAAAACCTTACTCGTGAGTTAATCTGTTGAACTTTACTTCATTAATAGGCCCCAATAGGTGATGCTCGGACCTGACTCCAGACTCTGAGGCCAGGAATCACTTCCGGGGGTGGGGCAGGGAATCTAACCCGGGTCCACACCCTGCCCTGCAAGCACCTACATCTCTGCACTCACTGTCCAGCCCGAATGGTGGAATTTTATTTATTTGAAGGGCGGCAGGCACATCCTCTGGAATTTTAAGAAACTTTGTGGTAAGGACATCTGATTAAGTTCAGGTTCCGAAATAATGCCTTGAAAAGGAATCACACATCTCTGCAGCATTTTTTTAAAATTACCTCTTGGATATGCTAAAACGAAGAGTAACTACAGTTCTGTACAAACTAATATGCTGTACAAAACGTAGTATTCTAAGAGAAACGACTGTTCTACTATATATAATAAAACTGCCTTGCGCCTTTCCCCCCTGAGAAAAAAAATGTGCGGGAAGGTGGGGGTGGGGTGGGGGTGGGGATGAGGAGGTGGGAGCTTGGGTAGATTCGCAGACTGGGAAAATTCGCAGACCATCTAGTTGCCGCTTTAAGGTGCTTTGTTCCAAAAATAAATCGCAATTAATTTTCATATGTGGAGCAATGGTTGCATGACTCAAAAACTGCTTTAAGTTTGCAGCATTCCGCAGCCAAGCTAGAAGTCCGCGCTTGAGTTCTTTGCCTCGAACGGGGCCTTCAGGGTGAAGGAACCTGGAAAACTCGCCGACCTCTAATTCCTCCGCTACAGGACACCTTTCTTCTCTCCTTTCCGAATGAGCGAACACTCCTCACCCCAAAGCTGGTGATGAGAACCCCTTCGTCTGCCAAGGCACTGGAAGCCGGACTTCCCCCCCCCCCCGCCCCCCACACCGTGCAATATCGGGGATCTAAAAGGCATCCCGGTGGAATCGGTGCCCCGAACCGATCTGCAAAACTGCCACGCGCTGCCCGGCCCAACAGCGCCCGGACTGCGTGGCCCGGGGTCGCCCATCTCCGCCCCGCAGCACCGCGGCCACGCCCACCCAGCCCCCGGCCCGAAGCACCCCGCAGGCCCCGAGAAGGCGGGGAGGGCTAGCACCGCCCCCGCGGCAGCTCCCCACGCCTGGAGCCCGTGGGACGGCTAGGCGTCCCAGCCAGCTCGGAGCCGGGCTCATGCCCGGCCGGGCGCCGGGGACTGCGGGCAATGGGCGGGAGGGCCGGCTCGTTCTCCGTCCACCAGGAATCCGGTATCTCGTACCTCCCCGGGGACCGAAAACCGCCGGTGCCGCCGCACCCGCCGCCGCCGCCGCTTGCTCATGGAGAGCCCGTGCTTGCCGCCGCCGCCTCATCTACTAGCACCACGGGCTGTCTCGGTCTCCCCGGCGGGAGTGCTGGGCTCCGGCACGGCCTCCATCGCACCCGCCGCGGCGGGAGCCAGAGCAGCTCCAGCGCCCAGGCCCGATCCGAGCGGACCCACGGAGCCAGGACCGCGGGACGCGGAGCTTCTGATTACCGAGGAAGATTCGGCCTGACCTCCGCCCCCCTCCCCCCAGCCGAGCCCCCTGCACTCCCCCGCCCTTGCCGCTGCCTCACGGCTCTGCTGCGCACGCGCGAAGCCTCCGGGCCAAACGTGCGAGGGTCGGCTGTGTGTACAGCGTCCAGAATTGCCCAATGGGAACCAGGATCAGGTGCGGAGGGCGGGATCTAAGAGAGGGGCGGGGTTCTAGGGTTTGGAGTGTGGGTGGGGCACCCGGATGTGGGCAGGGCTTGCACAGAGGCGGAGCTTCGTTGGTAGACTTGCTTGGCATTTTCTGTCTTATCCCATCCTAAGATACCTGTCTTGATTTTAGTTTGCATCTTGGTTCTTGCCGGCCCACTTCCTTTACTCAAACGGACAAAGCATTGTTTTGTCAGTAGCTCATAGTATTTCAACTTTTGAACAAAAGTTGAAATATGTTAAAGGTTGTCTTTGTGTGTTCAAGGTAGCCAGTGATCTGTTTGCTGCAGCTTACAATGGAAGTTATTTGTTTGGGGGGCACATCCGGCGGTCCTCAGGGCTTTCTCTTAGTTCTTCACTTAGGAATCACTCCTAGCAGGCGTGGGGTGCATTGGGGGATCATATGGAATGCCAGGGATCTAACCCAGGGCAGTGGCATGCAAGGCAAATGCCCAGTATCCCTATGCGCCGAACTATCTCTCTGGCCCCTACAGTGGAAATTAATATTATTCACGGAAAATACATCGTCTTATCCCCACTTTAGAGATTAAAATGGAATTTTGGAGATGATATGATCCCACTCATTCCATTATAGCTGGAAATTGAAGGTAGAAAACCGAGTAATGCCAGCATCTGAAAGCTGTTCAATTTGAGTTGGTTCTGTAAATCAGAGCCTCTTTATAAATCAGAGCCCAGTGACTCTGCTCCTGGAGAAAACAATCCACCCTGGGATACTCTCTCCACTTGCAGTTAGAAGTGGGGAATGCTGGTGATCTTAACCAAAGATCCTAAAGCGGAGCTCTGTTTCCAAGACCCACCCTGCAGAGCGCTCATGGCCAGAGCATTCATTGCATAGATGTATAGCTCTCAGGCCCTCCTGTTGATCATCGATTTGCTCGAGTGGGCCCAGTAACGTCTCCATTGGAGACTTTGTTGTTACTGTGTTTGGCATATCGAATACGTCACGGGGAGCTTGCCAGGCTCTGCCGTGCAGGCAAGATACTCTCGGTAGCTTGCCGGGCTCTCCAAGAGGGGCGGAGGAATCAAACTCGGGTCAGCCATGTTGGCTGCGTGCAAGGCAAATGCCCTACCGCTGTGCTACTGCTCCAGCCCTATAGCTCTCAGATATAGGCTAAATGAGGTGGAGTATGGGCGTATTCACTATTAGGATAATCCCTAGGGACTTCTTTATGAATTCTCAATCTAAGCGTAGAGGACTGAGGACTAGTAGAGAGGTGCAGCTTACTTAAAATATTGCTAGAGTTGGGAAGAAAGGGGATTTTCTCAGCAGAAAAGAACTGGTAACTGGTACTTTCTAGTTTCTAGTTTTCTGGTTTTAACATTCCTTAGGGCATTCCACAGAAGAATAAATAGAGGATTGTCTATAGTGGAATTCATGTGCAGAAAGTTATTTGCAATATCAAAAGTACCCCAGCAAGGTTAAAGAAAATTCTTTAAAGAATTTTAAAACTGGTATAAATACAGGTAATACGCTTAATGACTAAACTTGTCAGACCCATATGACTGGTTTGGTTGTTCTCTTCATAAAAACACTTAGTCTTGGATATCACTATTTAGGGAGACTAGCAGGAAAGTGGCTAAATTGCTAAGACTTGACTACACAGAAGCAGCATGAGTCCTTTACACACTTTGATAATTCCACAGCCTCACCAAGGCCATCAACTGAGATTTCCGTTCTGCCTCCACTCTGCTTTTCTCAAAGTCTGACAGCTGAATTTTAAGCTTTTTCCTTTTCTTTTTTAAAATCAGCTTTATTGAGGCATAATTGACTTACAATATATGGAACATATTTAAAGTATATAATTTGATAAGTTTTGACATATGTATCCTCACTACAGTCAAGTGAATAATCCGTCAACCTTAAGTCTCTTCATCCTTTTTGTAATTTCTTTCTCCTTGCCTCCCACACCTAAGCAACCATTAATTTATTTTCTGACAGTCTAGATTAATTTGCATTTTTCTAAAGTTTTATATAAATAGACTCAGTAGATATTCTTTTTTGGGACTTGGTTTCTTTTACTTTAGTATAATTTTATTGACATTCATCCATTTTGTGTACGAGTACTTCATTCCTTTGCATTATTGAATGTATTTTTTCATATAAAGATAACACAATAAGTTTATCCATTCATCAGTTGATGTACATAGGAGTTGTGTCTATTTTGGGCCTATTAACAAACTATTCTGAATATTTTTTACAAATCTTTCAAATCTCTTTTATCTCTTTTCCCTTGGATAAACTGGTAGACTGCAAGTTTGTTTCTTTGTTGTTTTGGTGCCCACCAAATGATGCTCAGGGATTACTCCTGGCTCTTTAGTTAAGAATTACTGTTGGTGGTGCTCAAGTGACTACATGGGTTGCTGGGATCAAACCCAGGTCGACCAAGTGCAAGCCAAGCACCTCCGCTACACTGTCTTTTCAGCCCCAAACACATGTTTTGTTTTGTTTTTAGGTTTTTTTTTTGTTTGTTTTTTTTATGGATCATACCCAACTGTGCTTAGGGCTTACTCTTGACTCTACTTCTAGGAATTACTTCTTGTGGTAACCCGGGGACTATTTTGAGTGCTGGGTATTGAACTTAGCTTGAACCCGGATGCATAGAAAGCAAGCATGTTACTCTCTGCAGTATGTCTCCAGTCCCAGAATGCATATTTTCAATATCTGGAGTTTAAATACAAACACACACACACACACACACACACACACACATGAAAAAAGTCTAGAAGCAGAATTGTTAAATAAGGCAAATGCATAACTTTTGAAAGAAATTTATAAATTGTTCTCTTCAGTGATTATGCCATTTACATTTCAATCAAAAGTATCTTTAAGATCTCTTTATCATCCCCATTCTTGCTGTAGTCGGTCATGTTTAACTATAGCCATCTAATAAATGTGTGGTGGCATTTTTTATTAATATGAATGATAAAACAAGATATTACTGTTATTTGTCTTGTGGTACTGGGGGTTGGACACAGGTTTAATGCTTGCAAAGCATGCACTTTACTACTGGCAAGCTACCGAGAGTATCTCGCTTGCACAGCAAAGCCTGGCAAGCTACATGTGATGTATTCAATATGCCAAACACAGTAACAAGTCTCAAAAATGGAGATGCTACTGGGCCTGCTCCAGCAAATCGATGAACAACAGGAGGATAGTGACAGTGACAGAGTTCAACCAGTGCTTTGTATATCCTTGATATCAACCCCTTATCAGATGGGTATTGGGTAGATATCTTTTCCCATTCTGTAGACTGTCTTTGTATTCTGGTCACTGTATCTTTTGAGGTGCAGAAGCTTCTTAATTTAAGAAACTCTCATTTGTTTATCTCTGTTTCCACTTGGTTGATCAGTGGAGGGTCGTCTTTGAAGATACCGTTAGTCTCAATATCATGGAGGGTTTTGCTGACCTTGTCTTCAGTGTAGCTTATGGATTTTGACCTATGTTGAGATCTTTAATCCATTTTGAGCTAACTTTTGTGCATGGTGTTAGGTCGAGTTCTAAGCCCATTTTATTGTATGTGGTTATCCAGTATATGCCAAAAACAGTAACAACAAGCCTCACGAAGGAGACGTTACTGGGCCCGCTCGAGCAAATCGATGAACAATGGGAGGACCGTGACCATGACTATGACCGTGGTTATCCAGTTATGCCAGCATCATTTGTTGAAGAGGCTTTCCTTGTCCCATTTCACATTTCTTGCTTCCTTGTCAAAGATTAGATGTTCATACATTTGGGGTTGTGTGTACGGATATTCTACCCTGTTCCATTGGTCTGCAGCCCAGGCTTTGTTCCAGTACCATGCTGTTTTAATTATTACCACTTTGTAGTAGAGTTTGAGGTTGGGGAGGGTAATGCCTCCCCACGTCTTAACCCCAAGAATTGCTTTAGCTATTCGTGGGCATTTGTTGTTCCATATGAATTTCAGGAGTGCTTGATCTATTTCTTTGAAGAATTCATAGGTATCCTTATAGGGATTGTGTTGAATTTATATAATGATTTCGGGAGTATTGGCATTTTGATGATGTTTATTCTTCCTATGATGAGCACAGGATATGTTTCCATTTCTTTGTGTCCTCTTTTATTTCATGGAGTAGCGTTTTGTAGTTTTGATTGTAGAGGTCCTTTACCTCTTTAGTTAGGCTGATTCTGAGGTATTTGATTTTATGGGGCACAATTGTGAACAGGATTTTTTTTTCATGTCACTTTCCTCTCATTATTTGTGTATAGGAAGGCCATGGATTTTTGGGCATTGGTTTTATAGCCTGCGACTTTACTGTACAAGTCTGTTGTTTCTAGGAGTTTCTTGGTAGAGGATTTAGGATTCTCGAGATATAGTATCATATCATCTGCAAATAGTAAGAGCTTGATTTCTTCCTTTCCTATCTGGATGCCTTTAGTGTCTTTTTCTTGCCTAATCACTATTGCAAGTACTTCCAGTATTATGTTAAACAGAAGTGGTGATAGTGGGCATCCTTGTCTGGTCCCTGATCTTAGAGGAAAGGCACTTAGTTTTTCCCCATTGAGAAAAATGCTTGCCATGGGTTTGTTGTAGATGGCTTTGACTATCTTGAGGAAAGTTTCTTCAAAACCCATTTTGGTGAGAGTTTTCATCATAAATTGGTGCTGGATCTTGTCACAATCTTTCTCTGCGTCTATTGATATGATAATATGGTTTTATCTTTACTTTTGTTGATATGATGAATTATGTTGATTGATTTCTGAATGTTAAACCATCCTTGTATCCCCGGGATGAATCCCACTTGGTCATGGTGTACAATATTTTTAATGAGTTGTTGGAT